AAAGTTTTAACAAATCTAGGGCTTAAATTAAGCTTTAGCATTAGTTCTGGCAGGTCACGTGAGTCAAGCTTGCATCAGCTGATTCTCAGCTGATCACATCTACCTATAGGAATACGACACCTATCGCGGCATTCCTATATAAGCTGTATTCAGTATTATTCAGCAGCTTTTCAGCTTGCTTCGGAGCAAATTACCCTCCTCCATCCCCAGCTCCACCTTTTGCCACAGTCAGGACTTAACTTTCTGATATTCCTTGCTAATCAGACTCCTTTATCTTGAATAAAGTGTTACACTTAAATATCATTGAGTACATTAATGATATCTGCCTTGTTCTGTTCTGTTAACCCTGGGGGGGTTATTATTGCTGCTCTCCCTGCTCATTCATGACAGGCTGCATGGATGGGCAGGGAGGTTTTTTGCCCAGAACAGAACCATACCGCCAAACCAAACTTTATGCTAAGTATCTATCATTTTGACGATAGTGGTCCTGACAGAACTAACAATTATTCTGCTAATCAAGTAATCTACTGATTATTATGACAAGTATTTTTTAGTAATACAAATAGAACTAAGTGAAAAACAGGTTTTAATATGACTATTTATAAATAAGCTAATGATGAGGCAATAATAATTGGCTCAAATAAAGTATCAAAACCAAGTGCATGGTTTTATTGAACAACTGTTAAATACATAATGTAATATGCCTATATTATAACAAATACCTGCACAGGGTGCCAACAGCCTGGTGATGTTTCATGTGATTCAACGACATTTAAATCCATTTAATTGCAATATTTGGCCATATGCAAAATGAGAAATGTTTATTTTGAAATCGCGATCTACAATAAATCGCATATTTGGAAATGTTGATGTATTCTGTGTTGGCATAGGTCTTATGCCAACACAGAATGACTTAATGACTTAAGTTACAAATTAAGATAAGTTTTCCCAGATGAACGTTAAGCAACCCAAACTCACAGCATATGCAGAGGAATAGTTTAGCCCCTTTCACACATACAGTCTTCCCTGGTAAATTGCCATTAAGAGATCATGTGTGAACAGGACCTTTTCAAAACTACAGGTGAATTTATTCTTCCAATCTTATGGTTCTTATGGAGATGACGTGATTACTCTGAGCTATTTACAAAGCTCCGTTAATTATATAGAAAATAGCTTTTCTATATAAATATGGTCTGTCATTTTGACGATAGTGGTCCTGACAGAGATTAAGCTTTAGCGTTAGTTCTGGCAGGTCACGTGAGTCAAGCTTGCATCAGCTGATTCTCAGCTGATCACATCTACCTATAGGAATACGACACCTATCGCGGCATTCCTATATAAGCTGTATTCAGTATTATTCAGCAGCTTTTCAGCTTGCTTCGGAGCAAATTACCCTCCTCCATCCCCAGCTCCACCTTTTGCCACAGTCAGGACTTAACTTTCTGATATTCCTTGCTAATCAGACTCCTTTATCTTGAATAAAGTGTTACACTTAAATATCATTGAGTACATTAATGATATCTGCCTTGTTCTGTTCTGTTAACCCTGGGGGGGTTATTATTGCTGCTCTCCCTGCTCATTCATGACAGGCTGCATGGATGGGCAGGGAGGTTTTTTGCCCAGAACAGAACCATACCGCCAAACCAAACTTTATGCTAAGTATCTATCATTTTGACGATAGTGGTCCTGACAGAACTAACAATTATTCTGCTAATCAAGTAATCTACTGATTATTATGACAAGTATTTTTTAGTAATACAAATAGAACTAAGTGAAAAACAGGTTTTAATATGACTATTTATAAATAAGCTAATGATGAGGCAATAATAATTGGCTCAAATAAAGTATCAAAACCAAGTGCATGGTTTTATTGAACAACTGTTAAATACATAATGTAATATGCCTATATTATAACAAATACCTGCACAGGGTGCCAACAGCCTGGTGATGTTTCATGTGATTCAACGACATTTAAATCCATTTAATTGCAATATTTGGCCATATGCAAAATGAGAAATGTTTATTTTGAAATCGCGATCTACAATAAATCGCATATTTGGAAATGTTGATGTATTCTGTGTTGGCATAGGTCTTATGCCAACACAGAATGACTTAATGACTTAAGTTACAAATTAAGATAAGTTTTCCCAGATGAACGTTAAGCAACCCAAACTCACAGCATATGCAGAGGAATAGTTTAGCCCCTTTCACACATACAGTCTTCCCTGGTAAATTGCCATTAAGAGATCATGTGTGAACAGGACCTTTTCAAAACTACAGGTGAATTTATTCTTCCAATCTTATGGTTCTTATGGAGATGACGTGATTACTCTGAGCTATTTACAAAGCTCCGTTAATTATATAGAAAATAGCTTTTCTATATAAATATGGCTCTAGATAGAAATCTTTGACCATTGCGCCTTGCAGCTTTTTCAGAATGTGTCGCGCTCATCAGCTGCGACTCTGCAGTTGGATACTATTATGCGTGTCTCATGTTTATGGGACCAAAAATGTCTGATTGGCTAGTAATGTTAGTTTGGTTGAGAGTGAAAGCTGTGTTCCTCTCATACATTGGTAGGCGAACTCATTAACTCGAACTTGATATCAACATGAGAAGAATAGTTTTTAAAGTATTGGAATGTGTCTTGGAATATTTATGTGACATTTTCATTGCTGCTTGTGCAAAACTTGGGTCAGGATGATTTTATCAAGTAGGGTACATTTCTGGAACTTATTTTAACATTTATGGAGGACATTTTTAAATTACTCTTTACAATGTTGAGTATTGTTAATGCATAACTCACTTAAGGCTTAGTGTGGCCCAGATAATGTATATTTATGGTTTATTTTGTTCATTATTAGCTAAAATGTGGCTGTGTAGTGCCCTGCTTGTGGACCACTGCCAAAATGCCACCATTTCATGCAGCATGTGGGTTAGACCAGGGTTAGAATAAAAATCAACTGTGGTCCACATTAGGGCCAGTTTTGGTTTATTTGGTTGGCTTACATGCAGCAATACTAAGGCTTACTTGAGGCCCAAATCTGGAAAACAGAATTGGACTGCCCAAATATCATTATTCCACACAGTATTTGGGCCGCAAGCAAGCCAAACAGGAGTGGACCACACAAATGCCATCATTCTACATAGTATGTGGGCCAGAACAAGGTGTTAGATCTGGGTCGTATCTGGGCCACAATTAAAATAAATGTGGCCCAGATTTGGGCCAGGTCTGGTTTATTTTATTTATTTTCATGACTGACATGCGGCCTACCTGTGGCTTGCTTGTGCCCCAAATTTGGCAAACAGGAGCGGACCGCCCAAGTGCCATCATTCTTCACAGTATGTAGGCCGGAGTAAGGTGTTGGATCTGGGCAGGAGCTGGGCCAGAATTAAAATCAATGTGGCCCAGATTTTGGCCAATTCTATGAATACATATGAATATTTACAGGTGCATCTCAATAAATTAGAATGTCATGGGAAAGTTAATTTCAGTAATTCAACTAAAATTGTGAAACTCGTGTATTAAATAAATTCAATGCACACAGACTGAAGTAGTTTAAGTCTTTGGTTCTTTTAATTGTGATGATTTTGTCTCACTTTTAACAAAGGAATGTTATTACTAAAATAAGTAAAATAAAACATAAATTCATAAATTAAATCTATGATCTGTTTATTTTAACTCTGGCCATGAAATAACAGTCTAAGGACTGAGGCAAAGTTCCTTTTGAGCTCTCTATATATATTTTGATTAAAAAAATAAAAGAAACAATGCTAACACATTAAAATGTAAAGGAAACAGCACTGAGATTCGCTTCATTTGAACCAGATACTGAAGCAGTCACATGGTTTTCAGGCGAATGAAGCTTCGGACGTCATAGATCATGTGCTTTCTCAAAACCAATCAAGATCCAATACAGTGCTTCAATGTGAAATTTGTTTTTTTTTATACAAGCTTCGGAGCTTCTGTGTTGAATGTAACATCACTAGACTTACCTTTCCAGTCACTACTTTGCAACAAATTAGATCATCACTTCTGTTGGACTGCATATACACTGCTTGGACACTCACATTGGGACATTTCAGCACACTAGGATTCTTGAACTGTTTTAAGGTATGGTGCAATCAATGGATTCTATGCTTTTAATGGCCTAATTTGTCCTGGTTTTATTGTGTTGTTTTAAAGTCCCATGAACTTTGTAAATACACCGTTCTTACTAAACTTATCTCTGTTTAATTTTATTCTTTTAACATCCACAAACCTCTCACACAGGGGTCATAAATATGACCCTGTTTTAAACTTTGTAACACAGTTTGTAGATCGGGAAGGAGGAGGCGGGAACCGGCGAACATTTAAAGAAAACTTAAATAATAAAATAAACACAAAATAGCGCGACAGCCCCTCGCGGACGACTGTCACGCACAAACAGAACCAAAACACAAAATAAAGTCCAGGCCTGGTCCTCTCTCATCCAACACTGTCGTCACTCCTCCTTTTATCCTTCCGGAGCTCCTCTGTGGGACTCGTGAGTGGTGCAGGTGTCGTGCATTAGCATTTACTCCACCCCATCCCTCTCATCACACCCAGCCTGTTAGGCTGATCGTTACAAGTTATTACATGATTCCTGTCTGTGAAACTCCTTCCACATTGATTTTCTATCTGGGTTTCTTGAGGTTCACAGTAGGATTGTTTCTGAAAGTCTTTCCACAGTGATGGCACATGAAAGGCTTGCATCCACTGCTAGTTTGTGACACTGTTACACAAGAAACATGTTTTACCGCTCTATTTATTGCAATGATTTTATGTATAATAGAGTTTTAACTGGTTTACATGTTTTCTTAAGTCCATTTTATTCCTCTTAACATTTTAGTGTGTATGTCTTTAAGAAATGTATGGTTGGCCTGTCATGTGACCATTCATGTGACAGGAAGCTGGAACTGTATAAAGAGATCAGCATGCCAGACAAACACTCAGTCACTAATTAGAACATGCCGGTTTTATTCAATAGAATAAAACAGTTCTCTTTTGAGTCCTCAAAAGACACTGTTGGTAGGTGTAAGAGTTCTCCCAAGTGTGAACTCTCATGTGGTAATTAAGGTCTCCTTTTCGTTTGAAACTGTTTCCACACTGATGCCACACGTAAGGCTTCTCTCCAGTGGGAATTCTCATGTGTCTTTTAAGGATTCCTTTTTGAATGAAGCTTATCCCACACTGTTGGCAGATAAATGGACTCTCTCCAGTGTGAACTCTCATGTGGACTTTAAGGATTCCAAGTTGACTGAAACTCTTTCCACACCCAGGGCAGGTGTAAGGCTTGACTCTAGTGTGAATCCTCATGTGCCTGTTAAGGTTTCCTTTGTGAGTAAAACTTATTCCACACTGTTGGCAGGTGAAAGGGTTCTCCCCAGTGTGAACTCTCATGTGCAAATTAAGATTTTATTTTCTACTGAAACTTTTTTTCACACTGTTAGCAGGTAAAAGGCTTCTCCCCAGTGTGAATCCTTATGTGCCTGCTAAGTATGCCTTTTTGAGTGAAACTGATTCCACACTGTTGAGAGGTGAAAGGCTTCTTTCCAGTGTGAATTTTCATGTGGATATTAAGGTTTCCATGTTCATTGAAAGTCTTTTGATATTGTTCTTTCTCTACCATTTCATTCAGTACTTTGCACTCCTCTTTCAGCAGCATGAGGTCTAAGGTGAAAAAAGGCAAATGAAAGTCACTCCCACATTAAAAGCACAAAAAACAGACATCAAAATATTAACCAACATGTATGCTAGATAGTACATGCAGTAAGCTACTGAATGGGTGATGCATATAATTTTAGAAACTCTTTTCAATATTGTTAACTCTTTGCTTTTAGAACACATCCCAAATATATTAAAGCTAGCAGTTATTAACCCCTTTATCAAAAACAAGCACAGTTTGGCCAAAGAAAAATCATTAATTACCAACTGATTTAAAATCTACCATTTGTCTAAAATTTCAGAAAAAAAGTTGTCTTTTAAACTGTTCTGTTTTGCAGAGAAAGTGTTTGTGAAGAATTTCACATTTAAGTTCCCTCGTAGTACATAAACTGTGCATATTAAAGTTACAAATATACTTTTGGCATCTGATTGTGGCTACATCTCTATTCTATTGCTGTTAAATCAGTGCGCTTTCTGCCGTCTCGGAACTCTGAAACGCCGTGTATACTTGCAGACACAGAAAAATATATCTATAGAGAGTGAAATGTCGACTTTCAAATAAACCAATTCAAATGGAAAACAAATATTCTCAGATTTATGTAATCCACAACAGGCGCATCCACTACTGCGGAGATGAAGGGACAGTGTCGCCAACTTCATCTCTTAAACCGAAAACAAAAAAGCACTGGTTTATCAATGAATTATTAAAACGTTAATGCAGCCTCCTTACGGTTTATCCCTGACACATTCATAATCATTACATCTGCCGGTGTGCCGTGGCAAGCTTTGTGTGTGTGCTTGAGCGCTTATAGGCTATGTAGGCAATTAAAGGTGCATTATTATGATTTTAATGGTTTATTAATAAACATGCAATTAGTCGACTAATGCTTCAAATGAACGACCAAACAAATGTTTAGCCGAGGGCAGCTCTAGAAAAAAAGTTTATGCCTAATATTTGATCTCTGAAAAGTAGCTGAAGCATTTCTTATTCTGAATGAAATAGCCCTATACTGTGGAGAAGCGATTTACTCCGCAGAGAAGTTGGTAATGTTTAAGTGTTTGCTTAATACCTTGTTTCTATTTCTGTTGTTTAGATTTTTATTTGTTGCTAGGAAGGATTGTTTCCTTTACTATATATTTGTATTTTTCTTCTTTATTTATAGATTGTATTTTGATAGCACTTTACAAACATTGTAATCAGAATAATAGTGTAGCGTCTGGACCAATCAAAAACACAATTTTTCATTTGATTTAACAAATCAGTTATTCATTAGATTAACAAGTCGTCACAGACCCCTCACCCAATAGACTGGGTGCCAGGATGTCTGCGAATGACCACAGGCCACTGGTTACCATGGCAACCATGACACCTTTGCTAGGCCAGAGCCATTTACGACCTAATAGGGAAAATCACTGCCTTTGAATTAGAAAGAGACACAGTGCCCAGTAGAAATGGACTCTTTTCTAATTAATCCATAGGAAAACCTTTCTTTGAATGAACACACATATCCTTCAGGTCATTGTGTATGTTGTCTTTGAGATTTTATACTGTTTTATACAGGCTTATGATGGAAACACTCATTCATGTCATCTTGCCTATATGTAATCCTACCATGTTTAGTATCTATGAATTCGCCTTCTGATGATCTAAACGAGCGTGTAAATGTTGGTACATAGGCAATATATTAGTGTCCTGAGAATCTTTAGTAATTTCAATACAGGCGGCAGACAGCACACCCTGTTTGTTTTCTTTATTTTATAAATGCACAAAGTTCTGTTGTTATTATGTGTGTATACAAATAAAAGTAGACCCTTTACAAATTTGACTGATGTATTGCTCTTATTTGTAAGATCAAAACTGAAAGTGTAATTTAAGTTCTTTTCGGTGTTATCAGGAGAAGATGCCACAAAATGCGTATCCGCGTTAGTCGACTTCAGAGGGTTAAAGGCCTCACACCATGTGATTCTGTTAGGTTTTGAGAAGATGCGAGCTACAATGCTCCAGGACATCCTAAGTTTTGTGCCAGGCCTTAGACCTTGACTTTTCCATTCACCAATATTCTCTGACGCAAACTGGTTCTTTTTCATCAACCAACTTCAGCAAAGATCAACTTGAACCTTTGGACTGCATCAAGCCTTTCTTTCAGACAGGAGATGTGCAGGTATTCAAACTTAGTCTTATTAATTGATACATTAGGTATCATTTGCACCTTTTTACAAAGGTGTGTTTGAACTAAGAATCTGATGTTTCCTTCAGGCGATAGATCTGCTGAATATGCAAATGGTTCCATAACTTAATATTCTTATTCTCTCTCCTCTTTACTGAGTTAAGCTTTAACCCTTTCCTATTCCAACTGTATTTCCTTAACCAGGAAATTAACGTTCTTAGAATTGACAGACAGTTGACCCTGAGAGGTCAAGTAAATATCTACAGCGGATCTAAATATTTATAATTAATTATAACTAGTTATGATTAATTATTCATATTTCCCCATGAGCTGATTCGCTACAATAGCCATCGGCTAAGAAGAAGCTTTTGATATTTGTATCACTAATTTACTGCACTTAAGTGGTGTACTGTCCCACAGTAGTTTTGATTTGAGCCATTTGCCTGCTATAGGCTTTTGGTGTGCTAATTGTCAAGGTGTCCATTGCTTTTTTCACTCAAGATTCGATAAGCTGGAAGTGTTCAGCCGCTGTGTTCAGCCTCCGAGCAAGGACACAGACAAGGTCAAGTCACATCAAGTCACCATTATTTGTATAGGGCTTTTTACAATGGAGATTCTCAAAGCAGCTTTTTTTTCCCAAAATGCTTACACAGTTTTTGAAACTATTGCTCCATTTTTAAAAACTACACACAAAACGTATTCGGTTACTAACGTAACCTCGGTTCCCTGAGATACGGAACGAGTACTGCGTCTGCTAAGATGCTTTGGGAAAACTAATTTTTCTCCGATGACTGTGACTGAAGTCTTTCAATAACGCAGTGTAACAAAGCCCGCCAGAATGGGCGGAGCCATCTGGCTATAATCGGGCATTCCGCTGTAGGATCCTCAGGTTACTTCGACTGAAGCAATGACGAGTCGTGCAGCTACATAGCACAGCAAAGTATGCAGTACTCGTTCCGTATCTCAGGGAACCGAGTTTACGTTAGTAACCAAGTACGTTCCCAATCGATACTTCACTCGTACTGCATCTGCTAAGACGCTTTGGGGAACCAGTACAATCCCGCTGTGCTATGCTAGAGGAACGACTAATACTTGAACTTGTCTTAAGCACCCAAGGGGGGTCCAGAGGGACCAAGTATTTTGCTGGGAAGCCCTGCAGGAGGCAGTAGGGCCAAACTCACAAGAGGTCAACCCAGCCTTGCATAATCATCCCAAGATAATTTAGTACAGCCTTAGAACTCAGTGAGGGCCAAGAGCATACATGAAGGTGGCAAACGTCATGCACTGGTTTTGTCATATGACAGAGTGCCCTGTTTATGCAGAAAGGACCCGAGCCTGTAAGGCCGGGATGTCCAGATTATAAAACCTGGCAAATGTGGCCACCGTACAAATCTCTGCAATGGACACACCGCTAGACCAGGCCCAGGAAGAGGCAATGCCTCTAGTTGAGTGGGCTCTTACTCCCATGGGGCATTGAAGGCCCAAAGAAGAGTATGCTAGCATAATAGCGTCAATTATCCATTTGGAAAGTCTCTGCTTTGTGACCGGAGAACCCTTGGTACGGCCACCGAAGAATACAAATAGTTGATCCGACTGCCTGAATGGGGCGGAGCGGTCAACATAGACTTTCAAGGAAAGATTGAGGAATCGCCGACATAGTTATTACCTGTGCTCTGAATGGAGTAGAAAGCATTTTAGGTATGTAACCATGCCTTGGTTTCAGGACGACTTTAAGAGTCGCTGGGCCCGAATTCGAGGCAGGTGGGGCTCACCGAGATCTCCCATATGCTTTACTGACGCTAATGCAAGTAGCAGAGCGGTCTTTAGCGTCAGGGGACGAAGGTCAACAGACTGTAGCGGCTCGAAGAGAAGGCTCTTCAGAGCCCTCAACACTGTGGGCAAGTCCCATGTAGGGCAGATCCTCCGACTGGCCAGCTATAGGAGCATGTGAGGCTGCCATGGCTGCTACATAGACCTTCAGCGTGGCGGTGGAACGACCCTTATACAACAGCTCTTGCAGGAAGGACAATATCAGAGATATGTCACAGGAAAATGGGTCTGCGCCGCGTGCCATACAGCAGGTGGAGAAGACAGACCATTTAAGGATATAGAGCCGCCTTGTAGAGGGTGCTTTAGCCTGAGATGTTGTATTTAGCATGCTCTCGGGGAGGTCTGCAGGCTCCCATCAAGAGGCCAGAGGTGCAGAGCCCACAGCTCAGGCTGGGGGTGCCATATCATTCTGTTCGCCTGAGAGAGGAGGTCTCGTCTCAGAGGAATGGGCCACAGGGCTGCTTAGAGCAGCCAAGACAGCTCTGCGAACCAGTGTTTGGTCCTCCAGAGTGGGGCCACCAGCAGAACCTTGCGTTTCTGCTCCTTGATTCACCTGATCACCTGTGGGATCAGGGTGATCGGGGGAAAAGCGCAGAGGAGGAGGTTGGGCCAGTCGTGGGCTAACGCATCCCTGTCCTTCGAAAAGTAAATTGGGCAGTGAGAGTTGCCTTCTGAGGCAAAGAGGTCGACCTCTGCCTTAACGAAGATCTCTCAGATTCTTTGAACCGAATGTGGGTG